TGGGGGTTGGGATTGTGGCTCAGTGGTAGAGCATTTGCCTAGCATGTGTGGGGCACTGGGTTCGATTCTCAGCACCACATATAAATAAATAAACAAACAAACAAACAAATAAATAAATAAATGGTCCACCAACAACTAAAAATAAATAAATAAATAAATAAAATAAAGGTCCATCAACAACTAAAAATATATATTAAAAAAAACAAAACAAAACTTGGCATCTGCTTTCCTTTCATGAAGACCAACAAAAAAACAACTTTAAAAAAACAAAACTGTAAAAATACTGCCAGGAGCAGTGATACACACCTGTAATCCCAACCACTCAGGATGCTGGGTCAGGATCATCACAGATTCAAAGACCAGCCTGAGTAACTCAGTGAGACTATGTCTCAAAAAGGGCTGGAGAAAGGAGGATGGGGTCCCCTGGGTGGTCTCCCCACAGCCTAGCTTCAGAGCTGCTGTGACTGAACTGTGTGTCCTTAAACAGACAAGCTGAAGTCCTGTCAGCTGCTTCCCGTGCATGTGACCTTATGAGGAAAGAGTGCTTTGCTGATGTCATTGGGATGTAAGCTAGGAGCAGGTCTTACTCGCCCTCGGTCCAACAGGACTGTGTCCCTGTAAGAGGAGAGACTTGGAGTAGACCATGGGAAAGCAGCAACTGCAGCGATGAGTCTGAAGCCAACAAACCAAGGACTGCGGCAGCACCAGGGTCGGACAGGGGCAGGAAGATTCTTCCACCAAGSCCCCAGAGGGCGTGTGGTTTTGCTGCTACCTTGACTTTAAACTTCTCGACTCCAGAACTGTGAGAATATTTCTTGTCACTTAAGTCTTTTAGTGTGTGGTACTTTGTACTTGCAGCCCCAGGACACAATGCAATCATTGTCTTCCAGGTGCCCAGCAGCCCTGGGCATACCTTGTCTTTGGGGGCAACGTGCCTCAGGCTCCCAGGAGTGAGTGCACTCATGCGTGAACCTGCTGGTGGGCACTGAGGTTCAGCCCCTTCACCTGATTTAAGGAAGCCCCACTCGAATGCAGACATGGCTCTCTGGCAAGGACTCCAGTTAGAAGTAAAGGTTTTCCTCAAAATTAAAAATCTGTCCTGAAATCTAATCCAACACCATCCAGCTGCCTGTCATTTCCATTCTGGGCAGGAAGTAAGTGCCTCTTCATGTTCTGCCCCAAGCTTCCAGAACAGTGAGAGTCAATGAAGATCACCTCCTAGGGATCTGGGCCAGGACTCTGACCTTGTATGAAAGGACAGTGGGTCACAGCTCTCTGTGGCTGTTCTCACCAGCCTGTGCTGTATCTGCCCCATTTGTACCTCATCAACATGCTTCATTCCCCCTTTTTCTTTTTTTCTAATAGCAAGTCCTGAGTCCTCCTGGAACACAGCCTTAGTTCCTTGAGGAGTGACAGAGAAATCTGAGAAACATATGAGCAAGGAGAAATACTAGTGGGGGCTCAGGTCACATTCACCTAGGGACAGGGATTGAAATGTGGGGGTCAGATATCCTTACTCATCCATAGGACATTGTGGCTGCAATGGCTCCAGTTACCTGTTCTTACCTCCTGCCCGAAGGGCAGGCCCTCAGAACTCCTGGAATACCAAACTCATTTAAGGAGCATTTCTCAATGAGGACTTCAGTCTCTGGTTTGTCAACACAGACTTTTCTCTGGGAATGGAAACTAAGTCTTGGTGGCAAATGGGCTCTTTTGGAGACTTGGATTTATGAGGAAGAGGTAATTATTATCCAGCTACAGGTGTACAAAAAAGAAAGAAGCACCCCAACCTTGGTTGGGAAGGAAGTTTCTGAAATGGACTCTGAGGTTGGGCAGGTTATTCAACACTGGAGGAAAAGGTAAAGAGGCCAAAGGTGAACATGAGCTAAAGAGATTTGGAAGAACTTAGCCATCACACGGTAAGTAAACACATAACCAAATTCCTGGCACAAAGTAGGTAACAGACAAATGCTTTTTGAATGACAGGCTCAACAGAATCTAGAATCAACTTCAATACAGCTCTTAAAAATTTTTTTTGTAGGGGTTGGTACTAGGGATTGAACCCAGGGGTGCTTAACTATGAATCCCCATCCCCAGCCCTTTTTATTTTTTATGAAACATTTTTTTAGTTGTCAATGAACCCCTATCTATATGTGGTGCTGAGAATCAAACCCTGCACACACGCAAGGCAAGTGCTCTACCACTGAGCCATGACCCCTTCCCAGCCCTTTTTATTTTGAGACAGGGTCTCCTAAGTTGCTAGGGCCTTGCTAAATTGCTGAAGCTGGCCTCAAACTTCTGATCCTCCCGCCTCAGCCTCCTGAGCTGCTGGGATTACAGATGTGTGCCACTGCACTTGGCTTAAAAATGTTTAAAAAAAAATATATAGATAGATAGATATACATGAGGATGCTACAGTTTGTGCTGCATTTTTTTCAGAGGAAAGTAAATCTAAAATACCCCTGTTATGCAATGTTGTGGGAATGGCAAAATAGGCCAGAAGCTCTTCGTCCTTCAGGATGAATTCTGTTTGCAATCATTGAATGTGCAGCAAAAGGACTTTCACCAAGACTGAAAGAATCTCATTTATTTTCTGTGTCTGTGAGGTTCACATTAAGTCTCACTGCTTATTCTTTAGGATGTTCATTTTGAAGATTAATGAAGTTAAAAAGTAGGAGCTCAAAGGAAGCATTTTCCATTACAGAATCTTCTATTTAGTCTTTGAACTGAAAGAGTAAAATAAAAATGTACTAAAAAAAAATTGTTATCTGGTAACACCCCACCCCCAGTTTCTTTTCTGGGGGGGGAGGGGCGTTCCTGGGGATCTGAGGGGTGCTTACCACTGAGCTACCTCCCCAGCATTTTTTGGACATTTAAAAATGTATAATCTAGGGGCTAGGGCTGTGGTTCAGCAGTAGAGCACTCCCTAGCTCGTGCGAGGCGCTGGGATAGATCCTGAGCACCAAATAAAAATAAATAAAGGTACCGTGTCCAACTACAACTAAAAAAAAAAAAAGTTAAAAAAATGTAAAATCCAGTGGTCTCACCATTTGGTGCAGCTGCTGCTATCCATTCTAATAGTTTAAAATGTGCTTTTTTGCACTTTTTGTGATATATTCATCTGTCACAGAAATGGACCCTCTCTCTGCTGGACTCCAACCCAAGTCCCTCTTCTCCTCGCTAAGACAGCCCCAACGCAGGGAACAGAGGCCTTGACCTGCAGGTGCTGGTTCAATGTGGGTGGGGCTGAAGGCCATCTTGTGCAAGAGGAGGTGGCTTCCCACAGAGATCCAGCAGGGCTGCAGCCAGTCCTGTGAAACTTTGGTCAGTCTCTGCTCTGCGCCCAGCTCTACCTCCTCGGTAGAAGGAAAGCCTTTCTCTTTCAAAAGTGCTTTCTGTATCCTGCTGGAGTTTTCCAACGTGTTCTGACGCGGCTAGAGCGATTCCATTTGTGGCTCCTGGTTTTAATTAGCAAAGCGCTTGCCGGGTTTTGGCCAGGTTGGAGTGGTAAGAAAAATGAAAATATTCTAAAACTCTTCCAATCACTCTCAACTAATAGCTTAGCTAACAGCTCACATCCCCCGAACTTTAAAAATCGAAACGCTTTCGTCTTCATAATGAGTAAGACCACCTACCTCCTGGGTGGAGTGAGTTTTAAACAGAACACGAGCGCGCGCTGGGAAACCCGCCAGCGTGCCCGCCAGGCGACCTTTCAGCGAGGCACCCGGGGCACGTCGCAGGCTTGCTACGCGCTGCGGCTCTCACCCTGCGCCCCGCCGCAGGTCGCCGGGCGGGGCGACCCGGGCCCGCCCGCTCGCTCACCTGTGGCCGCGTCCGGCTCCACCAGCACCCGGTGGTTCGCGAAGCGCCGAGCGCCGTCCCCGCCGCCGGCCATCGCCTGCGTGCGCCCGAGCCGGGCACCTGCGAACAAGTGCCGGGTCGGTAAGCGCTCCGCCCGCCCCGGCCCCTAGCCCCACCAGTAGCACCAAGACCACCACTAATGGCACCCCCCTGCCGCACACACCCGCGTAGAGCAGGGCGCGCGCAGTAACGCGCCTTCCCGCTGCCAGCGCCATATTGAGTGGGCGCTGGGTCGCGGCGCAGCGAGCAGCCCAACCTCCCGGGCCAAGGCTCCTCCTCCCGCCGGCCCCGAGCTGGGCGGAGCTGGGCAGAGCTGGGCGCAGCGCGGGACACCAGGAGGGCCGACAGAGGCGGTCCTAACTGTGCGGGCAGTGCATGGCCTGGTAGTGTTGGGCGTGCAGTTTTGCTCCTCATCCCGTGAGAATTTCCATTTCTCCCGGTGACAAGAACCGATCAAGGTAAAGGAGGCTTTCCCATAGCTACTAATGCAGTAGCAGAGTCCGGGCGATAGAAAAGCCCCTTTCCCGTCCCACACCCTCAGGAGCAACTAACACTCCAGGCTGTTCTGCAGGCTGGAAGTATTTGAAGGTGTCATTTGGGAACAAAACAAAGTGTCAGGCACTAGAGATCACCACTGAGACTTCTGGGTATTGAAGGACAGGCAGAGGCAGTGAAACCAGCATTCAATCTGCATTCTAATCCTAGGTTTATTCAATACGTTTTCATCACTCTACACAACAAAGTACAAACACAACCTTATCTAAAATGCTACAAAGTTACAAAACTCAAAAACAAATTTTATAGTACTGACTGTACAATGAGGAAAAAAAAAGCAATATACACGTTGCCAAGGTATCCTGCAAGACCACCACCAATGGCAGTCAGAACAGGGGGCTCTGTAATGACCTTGCAGAGCTGGCTCTCAACTTGCTCACCAATTTGAGAGTAAGGGATATGTGGGGCAGGGGGGTGGAGAGCAGATGGAAAGACAAAACCATTTACAGCAATTAACAGGTGGGGGGACAACCCTAGAGGTTGGAAGAGAATTCAAGTGTGTGTGGGGGAGGCCAGGCCTAACAGGAATGATAGCTCTGTCCCCTTTCCTGTGGACATAGCATAGCAACAGCAACACATTTGCCAGACTAGCTCAGGTCATCTGTGAAAAAGCTGGACCACACTGCCACCTGGAAACTTGCTGGTCCCTGCTGGCTCTGCCACTGAACAGACTTAGGAACAGGAATGGGTGAGCTCTCTAGCCAGAAAACTGCAGGGTCCCTCAATGGACATAGCCCTGAACCATGAGCACTTCTGCAGTCAGAATCTGACTGCAGAGGAAAGGCCTCAACTGCTGCTTTTGAAGCTTGCCAAGTGAGGGGGTCTTTCCTGCTGACCCTCCTTCAGCTAGAAAAGTGACACAACTGAGCTGGGTGGAATATAAGGTATAGATGAGCTTCGGTGGCCTTTTTATCGGGAGGAATTTGAACTGGAGCGGCTTCTGTGGCGGCGGCGGCCCGGAGAGCGGGACCGCCTGCGCATGGGGGACCTGCGTCTTGGAGAGCGTGACCTGCAGTAAGAGAAAAAAATAAGTCAGACCATCAAAAGCAAAAGCCCCAGGAAGAAGTGCTGAGCAAAGCTGGCTTTTTCCTGGTTTTATTTTTTGACATTAGAAACTGTGGCCCTGTCAGGGGAATTACATCTGTACTAGTCCTCTGATCCCGAACTTCCTATCTTCTAACCCCTCCTCTTTTTATTTATTTTTATTTTATTTTTTTAAAGAGAGAGAAGAGAATTTTTAACTTTTATTTTTTAGTTTTCGGCAGACACAACATCTTTGTTTGCATGTGGTGCTGAGGATCGAACCCGGGCCCCACGCATGCCAGGCGAGCACGATACTGCTTGAGCCACATCCCCAGCCCCCCCCCCTCCTCTTTTTATATCTGGGAAAAGGAGAGGGCCTGCACTTGGTCTTAGGATTTAAAGCCTCTTGGGAAGGCCTTGACTCAGGATGTAGTCTTGGTGTACTCCCAGGACCTCTTCTGTCACTGTCACATACTGCAACTACTCTTCTCCTTTCCCTGTTAGGCTCCCAAGGCTCATCATGTCAACCTGCTCTCTTCTCCCTCAATAGCAGCAGAGGGTGGGCAACACTGAATAAAGGGCCTCAAAGTCAATTAAGTTTGTAAATCACACTGGCCTAACAGGTACAGTGAACCTTCTAATCGACCTACCTCCTCCTCATCCGTGGGGGTGACCTACGCCACATGGGAGGTGGCGGCAGCATTCTCCTGGGAGGGCTGAATCGCCTGGGGGGTGGCCTAGGCCAGGGGGCCAACACAGCAGTAGCAGTAATCTCCTGGCCATCAATTTGTCCTATTGAAAAAAGATCAAGTCATATAATTCCTAACAAGCACCTATCTTAGGCAAGGCACCAAGAAAGATATGTGAAGAGCCAAGAGAAGCCCTTCTCCCAGGCCCATTAGGAGGCTCTTGAGCACCAAGATGAATTGATACTCAAGCAAAGGGAAGGAAAGGAAAGAATTTATTGAGAAGTAAACCTCCAGAACTTATGTGATGGATTATCTGAGAGGTGGAATTCTAGTGGGGAACAGCATGAAAGAAGTCTCAGGAGATAACTGCACAATGTGTGTACATGCAATGGCACAAGAAGCAAGGGGAGGCAGCACAGCATGGAAGCACCAGAAGTGCAAAGGTAACTGAGGTACAGATCTAGTAACCTCTGGCAATTGTCCCCACAGCTGGGGGTACCTGAGTCCACAAAGGCCTTAAATATATATATATATATATATATATATATATATATACATATATATTATATTTTAGTTGTAGATGGACACAATACCTTTATTTTATGTGGTGCTGAGGACTGAACCCAGTGCCTTCCACATTTGAGGCAAGCACTCTACCACTGAGCCAGAACCCCAGCCTACAAAAAGGCCTTTTAAAAAACAGTGCTGTGCCACTGAGCTTCAGCCCCAGCCCCCAAAGGCCTTTTGTCTTCTCAGCTCCTACCTTGCAAGGTACCCAGGGGCTAACTCAGGACAGACTGACTTGTATTCATATTCAAGAGGCTTAAGTAAAGGATTTCACAGCACTTTATAGTCAAAATACAGGGGTTGAAGGCTGGGGATGTAGCTCAGTCTAGCCCCTGGGTTCAATCCCCAGTGTGCCCCCCCCCCAACTTTTTATGGGGGAATATTTAATTTCTGAGAATCAATTTCTATTTTCTAAACAGACAAATCTATTTCTGGCCAGCTGCCAGTAAAGGCCAACCCCTTCAAATCTCCTGGAGACATTGTGGACTTGCTCCATTTGATGATGTATAGCACAATTGGGGAACACACATAAAATCCTACCACAATCTTAAATTAGAATTTTTACAGTCATGCCTACCCTGGATGTCCCAAGTCTCTGGAATTTCTAGCTAATTAGCAAGTGCTCAGACTCTATCCTGAGTTCCTAAAACATTTAAGAGGGACTTAAGTAAATTGAAAGAGAAGTTGGCTAAATATCAAGAGAATCTTCCTAATAGTCAACCTCTATCAGTGCTCAAAGGCAATTACCATAAATAAACAGCCCTATTAAACTATCATGAAGTTTATCCCAGGATCCCAGGGGACTTGAGGTTCTAGGGTATTCAGACTTTTCCACATCCTGGCCTGCAGGCCCAGACAATACTGTGGGCTGCCTGTTCTCAGCCCTAGCTTCCCTATCACAGTAGTAGGAAGCTAGACAGACATGCCATCTTTCTTAAAATACTAACTTAAAGACAAAATAGAAATTGGTTACCCAGAACTATTTGTAAGTGTTCATACAATTTAAAAACCACTCTGCTCAACACAACTACTTAACCTCAGAAATGCCAAAATGTTGGCAAAATAGAAAATGATTCTTAGAAATTAAAATATTCCCACATAAAAAGCCAAAAGTAGTGGGGTACACTAGGGACTGAATCCAGGGGCTTTACTGAGCTACATCCCCAGCCCTTAACCCCTATATTTGGAGACAGAGTCTTGCTAAGTTGCTTAGGGCTTTGCTAAATTGCTGGGGTTGGCTTTGAACCTGTGATCCTCCTGCCTCAGTTTCCCAAATTGCTGGGATTACAGGTGTGTGCCACTACCCTGGGCTCAAAAAATTAAATGTTTTCTTCATAAGAAAAGCTTCATTTGATCAAGTTTAACAGACTAAAAAATCTCTTAAAAAATGGCAACATATTCATAGTTGCTGAACACCCCCCAAAAGTTCATGAAATAGTTTTTTTGGGGTAAACATGCCCCCATTGAATCAAAGATGGGATCCTGAAGGAACTACTGTCAGATTTAAGTGCAGCTGGGTGGAAATCAGCCTGAAAGGTTCCTATTGGTAACAGGTCTCTGAGGACAGAAGCAGGAAGGTCAAAGCTGGTGGCAGTCATCTACCTCCATCCATGTGCTTCAGCGCCTTCTCAGCTTCATCTGGATTCTCAAACTCCACATATGCATAGCCTTTGGATAGATGAGGATGCATCCTTTCCACAGGCATGTCAATCATTTTAATTTTTCCATAGGTAGAAAATATCTCCATGATGTGATCCTAGAGGGAAAGAAGGGTCATGCTCATGTTCTCACCGACCAATTAAGAGCTGGAATTCAACACATACTTCAGCAGTGTAAAAACATTCTGCTCTCTGATAAAAGCCAGTCATTCTGGGATATCTCCTGGACATGTTTATTCAATGGAACTAACCACACCAGTATTCTGAAAGCCACCTGCTGCCATTGACCTGTCTATACCCCACTGCGCCTACCTCCCAACAGATCCATGATCTCACCTTGGTCACATTCCTGGTGAGTCTTCCAATATGCACTTTGGTAGGTTTAGGGGAAGGGCTCCGCCTTTTCCTTTCCTTTTCATCTCTTTTAGGTGGCTTAGATCTGAAAGATAACAGAAACAATTTCTGTCAAGCCAAAGTGTACTGGATTTGGGCTGTAGGTGTAACACAGTGGTCCAGTGTAAGCCTAGTTTGTGCAAGGCCCTGGATTTAGTACTCCACATTGCCTCCCACAATCAACAACAAAGAACTGGACTCCCTTTGGTGGGATATTTACCTGCTTACGTAACAGTTTTTACAGGGAAGCCTCCTACCAATTCATATAAGTTTTCCTTGTCTCAAATCCAATTAAGCTAGACTCTTTTTTTTTTTTCCTTTTTAAATATTTATTGTTTAGTAGTAGTTAGACATAACACCTTTATTTCACTTATTTTTATGTGGTGCTGAGGATCAAACCCAGGGTCTCACACGTGCGAGGCGAGTGCTCTACCACTGAACCACAACCCCTAAGCTAGACTCATTTCTAATGACCATAGTAAAGGTACAGCCCTGGTTTGGGACACTCACTTGGAGCGGGAGCGCCGCCTGTTGTCGTGTCTGCGCCGAGAAGGGCTGGGAGATCCAGAGGAACTGCTGGAACTGGAGCTGCGGGATGTACTGGAGCTTCCCGAGCGGCTGGATGCAGAGGAAGAGCTGGAGCCACTACTTGAGCCTGTGCTGGTACTGGATCCTGAGCTGGAGGTGGAACTGGACCGAGACCTGAAGGCAAAGTGGAACAGTCAAGGTGACAATGAGTGGTAATCACATTACTCCACAGCAAATTCCCTAGAAATGGAAATTGCTGTCCGTGTCTTTTTGTCTCAACTATTTTTCCCAGTAGGGAAAATGTACCTTGCCCAGACAGGTCACGGTACTACGCAGTGACAGGAAATGCAGGGATGGGATACTTCACCTACACAGAAGCCTTCCTTACTAGGAGGTAAAGGAGAAATGTATCAAGCCAGAACCATCACCTTGGCTTGGGAAGGGGGCCTATGGATACACTCAGGCTGGTTTTCTTTTCTTTTTTAGTATGGGGGATTGAACCCAGGGGCCCTTAAACACTGAGCCACATCTCCAGACCTTTTAAAAATATTTATTTAGAGAAAGCATCTTGCTAAGATGCTGAAGCTGGCTTTAACTTGTGATCCTCCTGCCTCAGCCTTCTGAGTCACGAGGATCAGGCATGTGCCACAACACCTGGCTGGTTTTCTTTTTTGCTATGGAGGATTGAACCTAGCAGCGCTTTATAACTGAGTTTCATTCTCAGCCCTTTTAAGGTTGGCCTCAAACTCATGATCCTCCTATTTCAGCCTCCTGATTGCTGGAATTATAAGCGTGTGCCACCATGTCTTGCTTCAGGCTGGTTCTCAAATTACTGAAAACTAACCATGTGAGGTACAACATTCTTTTAATCCCAGAGACACAAGAGGCTGAGACAGGAGGATCACAAATTTGAGGCCAGCTTTAGCAACTCAACTACTGAAAAATAAGCTCTAGGCTAGAGCTGCTCAAACACAATTCTGAATAAGATACACTTATTCAGAAAAACATACCCTAAATGTCTCATTCCTCAGATCTTGCAGGAAACGGGGGGGGGGGGGCACACAAATACATCTTCTGTATATAACCAGAGCAGACTCCAAACCAGCATGCTATGATTTAGGGTCTCTATAATAACTGGAGAGTATGGCTGCTTTCTAACTGTGGGTTCAGTGGGGAAGGAGGATTTGGCTATTGCAGCAGCCTCTGCTTCACCTGGTACTACTGCTTCCACTGGAAGCACTGCGCCTCTTCCGAGTCTTATCCCTGCCACGGTCCTTCTCGCTTGACTCCTTGGTGGTCCCTTTGTCTTTAGAGCGATCCTTGGACTTCTCATCAGAGCGGTCCTTGCGTTTGGTAGGAGAAGGAGCCCTAGGTGGTGAGGAAAAGTGTGAGATTGCATGTTCCTCTGATCAAACCCTGAAACAATTGCACAACCCAAAAGAGGGGTCCAAAAGGGCAAGAAATCCCATGTGATCACACAGCAAATGATCTGTGGATTAGGACACTCACTGTGGAATGCATAACATTTTCAATCTTCCCCTTTCTGAGGGTCCCTGGCAACGAGCACCCCCAAAGTAGCACTAGAAAAATCTTACAGAAGGATTACCTAGTGCTGGACTTTTTATTATTTTCTTTGACTCCTAGCAAGCTCTTCTTTTTCACTCCTGATAAATCCATTCTCCCCTTGAGGTGTTCAAAGCAGGAATGGCGGCCTCACTTATCTGAACTCTCACTTCTAACTTGAGTCTGAGAAACGATCCCTAATCGATTGCAATTTACGCCAAAGAGCAGCCTAATAACAAGATAAAAGGATTTAAATAAAGAGTGAACGAATTGGCAAGGCAACAAATCCACTTTGCAATAAAAAGTTGAGCATACGAGAAAGCAGCAAGGGAACACAGTAAGCAGCAAGTGCCACAAATGGGAGCACTCAGGACAGTCCCCCTTTCTTCTTGGGGGATTCTCCATCCCTACAGGAGGCTCAGGTGGACAGTTACCTCAGCTTCTTTTTCTTAAGGAGATGGGGGTGGTGGCTGCACTCACCACTGTTATTTTAGAGGTCACAGAACACCAGTTTGATGACAAGCGCTCTAGTCCTTTCAAAACACTATAGCATCACATTAAGTGTGCAGAGCAGAGAAAAACCTAACTTGAATGTGGTTCTCTTGATAGGATCAGACCTCTTAATTTATTTCCTTTTGGGAGACATTGGATAATAATATGATTGGAGGCAAAAATTATTTCAAATGTGACCAGAGCACAAGCAATGAACATTAACATCCAAATGGACAAAATATCCTACAGAAGCATTAAAAAGCAGTTATTGCAAACATGGAACTTTTGTTAATGATCTACACTATTATGTGTGTTGACTGAGGTTATTAAATAAGTCACAAGAAAGAAAAAGTGAGTGATGAGTAGCTAAACAATAAAGCAAATGTGGTCTAAATGTGACTTGCAGAATCTAGGACATGGTCATGTGGACACAATTGAAATCTTTTCAATCTTTTGGATATATATATAAAAACATTGGGGGAAAGAAGTAGACACTGGATTAGGTGAGAAACTGTATGCCACATAAGGGTTTAGCAAAGTACCTGGACTGTAGCAAGTGCTTGATAATGGTAACAGATTGATAAATCAAAACACTGCTTAGGATGGGGTAATAGCTCAGTTGGTAGAGTGCTCGTCTTGCATGCACAAGGCCGTGGGTTCAATCCTTAGCAACACACACACACACACACACAGAACCACACTGCTAATTCTTCATATGCCCTACTTTCCAAGGACTGATGCATTTTCAATTTTCCACGAGTGAGTTGTAAGCAAAGAACTCATTTCTCCTGCTTCGCTTCCCCCAAATCCCATAACTAGGGTGGACACAGCACACTTTTCTGGTACTATTTTCACTTGTGCATGGGTGTTGGCTGTAAACTCCTTTCAAATTGCTCTGTCTTAAAACAATATACTATATATAACCAGCAGGCAGCACCTGATTAGATTAGTGATCTTGGGCAATCAGTGGGTATAAACCAGTGGCTAAGAGCCTGTAATCAGCATGCCTAGGTTGTGCTGTGTAAATCTTGGGCAGTTTTTTTTTTTTTTTTTTTGTACCAGGGATTGAACTCAGGGGCACTCAACCACTAAGCCACATCCCCAGCCCTGTTTTGTAATTTAGAGACAGGGTCTCACTGAGTTGTTTGGCCCCTTGCTTTCGCTGAGGCTGGCTTTGAACTTGCGATCCTCCTGCCTCAGCCTCCCGAGACACGTGGGATTACAGGTGTGTGCCAACGCGCCAGGCTTCTTTTTTGAGGTTTTTCATCAGCAATATGTCGATAATTACAGTTCCCACCTTAAAAAATTATCAAGGGCATTAACCAAATTAATCCATGAATCTTGACATGGCACTCAGGTTAGGAGGAAGAAGTGTTAGCAAATTAGAAGAGCCATTTCTCCACATCTGGAGGTTCTTTCCCATATCCACTCTTAAAAAAAAAAATTGGGGGGTCAAAGGACCTTTATTATTTATACACAGTGCTGAGAATGGAACCCAGTACCTCACACATGCTATGCAAGTGCTCTACCTCTAAGCCACAACCCCAGGCTCCCATATCCATTCTTGTCTCCAAAGTTACCCACATTTGGGAATAATCAACTGGGGTCTCTGAAGAGCCCCCTTTAGGATTACTTAGACCAGCACTGTCCAATAGAAAAAGTGTGAGCCATGAGTACAACCAGAAATTTCCCAAATAGGAGAAATTAATTAAAAGTATATTTTAACATAGCATGTCCAAAATATTACTTATGATCAATATAAAAATTTACTAATAAAAATTTTCCTTTTTTCATAGTAAGTCTTCGAGATCTCTTGGGTACTTTAACATTTCGGTTTGAGTTAGCTATATTTCAAGTCCTCCACAGCCAATGGCTACCCCTTACTAGATAGCACAGATATAGAGTAGAGATCACAAACTTTGATTCCAGAGTCCCCCTCCCCCAAACATCTGGCTGAATGTACTCAGTGAAACAAGCACCACCGGTATTTGTAAGCACTCTAAAAATTTAGAACCACAAGTAAGCGAAGGCTTTGCTGGGTGTGGCCGAGTGCTAGAAAGCAAAGGTTGAGGTTCTCTGTTCATACAAGTTCAGGTAACAGCTCAGGACCTTGGTTACCTCCCCCATCCTCCGGAAAGGTGCGCGTCCAACAGCCAGAGAGAGGAGAGAACAATTAGTTAAATCTCGAGCAGATGGTGTTTCAGCACAAATCTTCAGAGCACCCTCCCCTTGTAAAAGCACATTTCAGACACATGCGAAATAACAAAGGCAGAAAAAGCCTACTCCACGTACTTCCGCCATCGACCTGACCTTCCCGCATCCTCCTTTGGGAGCTCGGTGCACAGTGGGCCGTACCCTCAAAGCCTAGCGCCGAGAAGTGTACACAGAGACTCAGTAAACGTTCTCGGAGTGAATATTTGAATTAACGACTCCCAAAGGAGCCGGTGGCCTTCAGCATGTCCCACAAAGCAATTCCGCCCCGTCGGCTTGGGCCCGACACGCCGACCTCGTTCCCCGACCTCGTTGGTTTCCTCGCCACTCCCCAGGCAGGGCCCAGCGTGGCGGGCCTGGGTCACGGTTTGGCGGGAGGGCCCCGATCACAGAGGCCGCGCTCCCAGTCGCCCTGAATTCGGCGGGCCTGGCTGGGCCGCCGCCGACCGGACAAAACGGGGTTGCCCTTGCATCCGCTGTGGCCCCAACCACTTCCGGGCCACAACCTAGACACCTCCCACTCCGCCCGCCCAGGGCAACACTCTTTTTCCCCCGCATTCTGTGCGGCGCCGCCAGGCCGCTGCCACACTGCAGGGCTGTGGAATAGGCCGGCTCCACGATGCACCCCTCTAGGCCTTGCAGGCGACCCCAGAAGCTCGGATGCAGTCGGATTCCACCCCAAACTTACATCTTCCCGCCGCCACCACCTCCTTCTGCTCTCCTCAGCCGCTGAGGCTGGCGCCGCTATTTCGTCATATTAAGGAGCGGGAAGGTACCGCCTTTCCGGCGCGCAGCGATGACGTAAACGTACCAGCCAAGGGGCACGAACGGCAAAGTATTAAAGGGCCATGGCTGTTTGTAGGTAGTGGCTCTGGAGGCGCTCATGGTTTTTTCGGCTTAGAGAACCTTTAGGGCTGCTCCCGGCTGATTGCGTGCACTCTGGAGCGGACAGACCAGAGCCTCGCTGGCGCTTGGAGGGCCGCGGGGACGACTCGCGGGCCGGCGCGGCGGGAGTTAGCTTGGTGGCCCACCCTTCTCCTGCGCCGGCTCAGTGGCCCCGCGGCTCCGAGCCTGAGGTTGTCCCGCAGCGGGCGAGGCGGGCGAGGCGGGGCGCGCCGCGCTGCGGCCTTAGGAGGCAAGCGGTGGGGTCCTGCGGAGCCGAGGCAGTTCAGAGCGGCAGCCCGTGCGGGGTGTGGGTTCGTGCGGTCAAAAATCGCTAGTGGTGTACGGGTGACCGTATAGACGCGGCCTCTGCGCGAGAAGAACTCTATGGGTGGGTGCGGCAGGCTACGCCAGGAGCTTGAAGGGCAAAAGGGAAGACGTCACCCAGGAGGTGACTTTGCTGCTGGAACCTGTTTGGGAGGGCGCGCCAGGTAGAGGGAACTGCAGTGCACAGCGCTCAGGCTCTTGGGAGAAGGGAAAGGAAGCCAGTTTGGCGGCTGACAGGCCCCGGCCTAGGGGCATGGAGGTTATGCAATGTGCGGTGCAGAGACTTGATACCATCGCCTCTGGAGGGCCTTTGACCGGCCCTCTGGGGCAAGACCCAGGATGCAGAGGCACCAGCCCAGGCAGTGGATTGTCATAACACCCGGTGCTGAGATGGCAATGCCGTTGTGTTTTGTTCCCGCAGTGGCTTCGCCTTCTCCCTTCGAGCCTGACAAACCGTCGTTATTCTGGGATTATTTGCTCAAGAAACGGAGGTGTGCTCTTGCCCTGGGGTTGTCTGAACAAGTCTGTAGCAGCAAGGGAAAAGGCACATCCAAGTCCGTCTCCTGGAGGAAGGAACCAGGGTGACAGAGATGGACAGGTGGAGAGAACTGCGTGCAGTGTGGTGACCTGAAGGAATGCAAGGACGGGGTTGGTCTGCAGTGGTTTTTTCTGCTTGTGCCTGCTGACTCCCAGAGTGCATCCCTCTGACCCTGCATAAAGGTGTCAAGTTGGGGTCCTTGCCCTTCAGCCTGGGCTGAGGGGTTCCCAAGGAGTTGGGAACAAAACAGCTGTGGAGAGGAGAGAGGAGTCCTTTTTATTGAGGCACCAGTTGGTTCCTAGGGATAGGTTGGCAGGCCTAGTCAGTCTGGTCTGGGTATCCCTTCTTGGATTTAGACTTGACATGACAGGCTGGGGTTGTGGCTCAGAGGTAGAACGCTCGCCTAGCAAGTGCGAGGCCCTGGGTTCCATTCTCAGCACCACATAAAAATTAATAAATAAAGATATTGTGTCCAACTAAAAAATAAATATTAAAAAAAGAGAGAGATAAGTTAACTTACCTGCATTAATGTCACATTTGCTGTGGCCCCATATGAGGCATAATGGATCAGAAGGCCAGCCACATGGAGATTTGAACCTGCCCCTTAAGTAAAAAAGGGGCCTTGGAGGGTCAGTAATCAGGATGAAGCAGCCTTTGGATGTCAATGGGCAATATGTGGAATTCTCTGAGGAGATAGGGAAACTCACCATCAGTTTGGGGTCCCCAAACCTAGAGCCTGTGCCCAGTGTAGCACTGACACCCTAAGGGAGAAGGGAGCAGCCTGGGTACCACACTGTGGTGAGAGGGGGGTTGGGACAGAAATGGCTGGGCCAACACCTCTCCTGCTTTGCTTTTTTGTTTATTTAATTTTATTTTTTAATTGTAGATGGACACAATACCTTTATTTATTATTTATCTATTTATTTATTTTTATGTGGTGCTGAGGATCGAACCCAGGGCCTCATGATTGTGAGGCAAGTGTTCTACCACTGAGCTACAACCCCAGCCCCCCTGCTTTGCTTTTGATCCAAAGCAATTTAATTTGCCATTTTAAGAAGCTTTAGTGCATTTTATACTAAATCAAAATGTGATTTGTTCAGGCACTCTGTTCAAATTTGTTTCTAAATGTTACTGATTTTGGTGATCAAGTATGCTATCAGTTGTTGAGCTTTGAAGATGGATGTTTTTGTCATTTTGAGTATCATCAAAAATATGTTGGCAGGGGCGGGGGTGGGGTGGGGGGGCGGGGTGGGGGTTGCACTTGCCTCTCACACATGAGGCACTGGGTTCCATCTTCAGCACCACATAAAAATAAATAAATAAAGATATTGTGTCCATCTACAAATAAAAATATATTTTAAAAAATATGTTTGGGAGAATTATGAGGAATGAAATTCTAGGCACCACCCCCCTTCCAGGAGTCCTGGCATCTACCATACCAGCCCCATTGCCAACTTGTGGAGGCTATGAAGGCTGAGAGACATGGAGGTGGGACCTTCAGGGAACGAGGGTGTCTCTGGCCCTGGTTTGCTAGAGGGGGCATCTGTAGCTGACCAGAACCCAGGAGTGCTGATGTGATCTTGCCCTCTAGGATGGAAAATATTGGACATATCCTACATCTGGAATGTCCTGAGCCCTCCTCCCTTACCTTCCCAGGGCTGAAGGTCACCTGTTAGCAATGTGGGTGCACACTCTTGAGAGTGTGCCCGTGTTAAGGGAGAATGTTCTGGGCCTAATGGTCTGAAGTGCCTGCCCTTGGAGACTGGTAGCCTGGGACAGTGCTGGGGTCCATCAGGGTAGCCTGGGCTGTCTGGAGGTCATGTCAGCTCTGAATGGGCATCACACCCCTTTTAAACCACGTCAAGGAGCACCTCTACCCACTGCTGAAACCATGCCGTGCTGAGGGCAGGTGAACCCAGCCTGATGGGAGGGAGGGTGATGACATGTGACTGTGACAGAGACCTCAGAAGAGGACATGTGCTGAGGGTCCTGTTATCAGGGCCTGGCATCTGTTTGAAAAGGGGTGGGCCTGGGAGGAGATGTTGGCTGGTCCTTCTGGGTGGCCAGACTGGATCTAAAAAGGTTGTTAGGCAGATGGCTTAGGTGAGCTCTGCCAGCTGGAAAGGTCTTACTTGTGAGAGGCCTCCCTGGCTCTTGGTTTGTATCTTAAGAGGTGGGGAACCCTCTGGGCTGAGGGTACCTATAAACTCTCACCCAGGGTGCAGGTTGCCCTTCACAAGGGCCTGTGGGTCTGAGCACTAGGATTTGGGGCCTGTGCTCATCTTCAGCTCAAAGCCACGTATCTATTTCTACCATGAGAAAGTCAAGGATGATGACAACTAAGCCTTCCTCCTGGTTTTAATGGGGACTGGTGGAAAGTTAGTTGTAAAGCTATGACTGTGCTGGATGAGTCTGGGGCAAAGCTGTGGCAGGGACCAGCAGAGCAGACCTGGTACCAACTGTAGCTGGGATGCATGTACCTTCTCAGACCCTAGAGGCCCTGGATGCCAGTATCTTTGGGGTATGTGTTTGGCGCCAGGAGCAGGGCCTGGGCAGCCCCATGTGTTGAGGAGGAAGGCAGGGTCCCCGGTCCCCAGGCCCAACCCCACAGCTTCAGTCCCCTATCGGGCTACCCAGAGCCCAGGCCATGAAGACCCATCAGGAGGAAAGGGGACCCTCTATAGTACCATGTTACCAGTTTAGGTGGACAGTACTGCCATGCACGTGGGACCACCTGTGCTCTAGGATGGAGAAAGCAGCACGCGTCCTGCATATGGGTTTTCTCATACCTGGTGTAGCCACATATCTGTTTTGCAGGCAGTGCTAGACTCATAGCAGAAGCAACATCAGGGAGCTACCCCAAGGCTTCAGGTCAGCCAAGTGTGCTTTCCTCTCCCCACAGACCCTTCTTTCTGCCAATTCTATAGACTCTGAGAGGAGACCTCAAGGAGGGAGGATCCCAGTAGGGTAGAGGAACAGGTGGATGGAGCCTGACCCCTGAGACCCTGGAGGTGACACAAAGCCTTGTGCTGCCTTCTCTGACTTCATACAGCTGAGAAATACATTTCTGTCTTCTTTGGATCTGTGTTCTGGAATTTCTGATGCATGAAGCAAGTCTGTTCTGGGTGGCTGAGGGGGCGGGTAGCCCTTCCCCTTTAAACCTATCAAGGCAATGGAGGGCTCAGACTCAATCCTGTCCATAGCAGGACTTAACTACCCACCCTCATGGAGCTCCCTTGAAGTTCTGGGTGTGGTGACACTGTCAGTTGAGCCACCCTGTTGGACCAGGCAGGACTAAAGGACAAAACATGCAGGCTTTGCCACGGGTGTTGTTTTCAACTGTATGGTAGCTGGACCACAAAGAGATGCAGAGGCAGAGTCATTGCTCCTTGATCTCATTGGAGTTAGCAGCAGAGCAGGTCCTAGAACCTCTGGGGAGGACTGGTCAGCCTGGGGCCTGGTGGTCTGGATGGGAGTATACTGGAAGGAGAGCAGGGCAGGAGTCCATGGTGCCCTGTCCTGCCTAGAACTGCTGCAACTCAAAAGAGCCAAGCGGGTGGGTTCCTGGGACTTGGTCTTTACTGTTCCTCTGGTGACTGGGGTCCAGCACAGTGTCTTGCCCTGAAGATGCACTGGGTGTGGGAGGCAAAGTGTCAACCCATTGTGTTGCTCCTTGGGGTCCCTTCTAACTAGGCTCTGCGGCAGTCACCCAGGCTTTGTGCTTGGATGCAGCTCTGGGCTCCTCCCATAGACACCTCTGGAACCTCCTAACCATATACGTGCCTGCCCTTTCTGGTTCCCACAGTGTTCTCCATCGCTGTGGGTCATCTCCTAAAGGATTCTGGTTGTGACAGTCCTCACCTAAGTCCTGCTGGCAGCTCTCTCCCGCTTGTGAGAAGATGACAATCTCCATGTGTACTGAAGCAAGCTGCTTTCATGTGTGTGCCTCACATCAGCTGTTTCTTAAGTCCTACTAAATACCTTTTCTCACCCT